GGAGAGTGGCAGCGGACGTCCAAAGGATGTGGAAAAGTGGAGCGCGTCTGCAGAAAAGGAGGGCAGATGCCACCCTCTATGCGACAAGGGGACTGAGGATGCCTACATCTATCAACCGATATTATCGACATGGGAGGCCAGTGTCAGAAAGGCTCGAACCTGCGTCAGCGTCGTAGGTGTGGGGCCGTCTCGAACTGCCTCGACCTTCCTCGAATCCGGTCTCAAGCCCCCTCGGGTCACGACGTACCCTAGAAACAAGATCTCGGAGAGGAAGAACTCGCTTTTCTCCAATGCGATTTTGAGGCCAGTGTAGTTCAACAGTTCGTGGGTGTGCCTTATGAGCTTGGCCCATTGGTAGCTCGCTCAGTTTGGACTTGGCACAAAGCAGAAATCTGTCTGGTGAGAAAGAGGGCCTCGCTCCACTACTTACCACATGCACTGCGGGCCTAGCTCAGTTGGTAAGGCACAGAAGTTGCATTCAGGAGGTCGTGGGTTCAATCCTCATTTTCCTCACGTATGATGTGCCTGGGCAAGCTTATTGTTCTACCAGCTACAGATAACCCATTGGCCCCCCAAGCCAGCATTGGCAGGACCTTGGCTGATGTTGTTGGTTGCTATGCAGCGACGATATTGGCCATTAGACACCGCCATGTGGGGTTGGGGGGGGGTTAGGGGGAGGTGTAGTACAGCCCTGCTCTCGCAACACTGCTGTGGTGCCATGGGCGGGGGAGAGAGCCGGGTTGGTTGGTGCTCCCCCATAGTATACATAGACTAGTGAGAGGATGAGATAGATGAGTACTGGCAAGAAGATGAGATAGATGAGAGAAGAATATAGCTTAGACTAGTGAGAGGATGAGATAGACGAGTATAGCTTAGACTAGTGAGAGGATGAGATAGATGAGTACTGGCAAGAAGATGAGATAGATGAGAGAAGAAAATAGCTTGTGAAGAGAGGGAAAATTTTTGATATGCCCCTGAAAGTTGCATTTCTTTGCGAAATACCCCTCAGACGGCTGACTTACGCTGAGTTGCCCCTCTGACAGCAATTGAAGTTTTCGAAAAACCCCTGGTGTCGCTTGGGCCTGAGAGATGTTTGATTTGCCCCTACCGGTACCCATCCATAATTTCTAGTATGCCGCTACCGGATAGCAGTTGAATACCAGCAGAAATATTTTCCATATGCCCCTAACCGTACCTTGCATCTTTTCGGCGTTCGGTGGGTGTGCGCGGACACACATCTATGGCGGCCACTTCATCACTCTCACTCTCTCTCTCTCTCTCTCTCTCACACACACACACACGCACACACAC